TTCTTATTTGAAATCGACAATGACTTAGTTGCCAACCTAACACTTCCATTCCGCTCAATAATTGGGGGTTTTGTTGAACTAGTGTGGTGACTTGTGCCTTTGTTGACAGCGCCTAATAGATACATATCAGTCCACGAGGTTAAGATCACGGGACTGACTTAATAGTCATCAAAATAGATCACTTGAGAAAGCTTATACAAGATTAGGCAAGCAAATCCATTACTTTCATCTTAGGGGTTTTTTAATAGGAAAGGAAGTCGAATTTTAGTGATTCGACAGGATGTTTCGCTTTGCTCAGAAGTTCTTTTGCGCCTTTGTCAGACGATTTTCGGAAGAATTTCGGTGAGAACTTGACATCTGCTATGCTGGTAGGAACTTGCAGTTTCATAGGACTTCATTATAGACTGAAATCTCCCATTACCTAAAGATGAATTCCAATTGCTCCACCAGATCAGATCACGTCTTATGATGTTTTCTTCCAGCCACAATAGCCCGTAGTCTCCAGTTCTACTATTATTAGAGTTTCATTATCAGAAATTACACTAATCTGATTCTAATGAGTTTTACCATTAAAATTTTGTTAATTAGTACTATCCGTGTGCCTTAGTTAGCGGAAAGCTACCTTGAAATGCAGTAATAATCAACCCAAATAATTTATTGGACAATATGCACAAAACTTTATGGGCAAGATTCAAATTCAGATTTCAAGGGGGAGGGCAAATCGTTGTGGTAGCTTATCAGACGCCTGAATTTTAGACCAATACTAGCAATCTTCATCCCAACTTTTTCCAAATTCTCTATTGTATGACAGCCGTGATGCGAGAGATAAATAAGCCTACTTGGAACGTAGAGTATAAACGCCCCAAATCATCAGTGCCAAAATACGTCAACTTCCACAGTAAAGCCATTCCTAATTCCTTCTAAGTTATATATGTAGTCCATTTTCTGCTTATTCATTGATGAATAATACTCCAATCTGAACCAAACAAAGGCCAAGAAAGGCTCCCAGACTATGATTAGATCGAATTTTCTTTCCTAATCCTCCTGTTTCCGCTCTGTGACTAGTGTAACGCATACCAGATAAGAAAATTCTATGACAACTCATAATACGATCATTTATTGCAAAAACTTATTTCTATACACAGAGAGTAAAGATCTGAAGATATATCTACGCTGTAAAGTCTTGAGATATGAAACACTTCTTCGATCTGTAGAATAATTTCTGGTTTTTCTTTTCCTTTCGATTTGTACTTTGCTTCCAGGAATGCAACAGCTAAAAGGGGTTAATATTGAGTATTAAAAGCGTGAAAACAAAAACTCAGAGGCAATTTCCATTAGAAAGGAGACATACAGAAGATAACTCGTGTTTAAGTGAATTGAGGGATTTCGCGGCGATTTGTTTAGCTGGCTTTCGTTTAGGCCCACCTTCTTCGTCATCGCTGAAATAAAAAATATAATTAGCACATTATTGCCATTGAACAAGTTTATTTAGTGACGGAAAATACTCCTATTGCAGTTTTTGACTCATATATTATTAATATTACCTCGAGATTCCCAGATCCGAATCAATGTCCACATCAGCTTCGCGCGCAGTTCGAACGAGCCAATCACGATCAGCATCCTTCTTGGATGCCGAGTGTTGGATTTCATCCATCTGACGCATCAAGTGGGTTATAGATCTAAAGCGGTTTAGGTCCTCCACGGTGGGAAGAGGCTCCAGCAAATCAGGCAAATCGGGAATCCCTTTATCTAAAAGGACAAAGCATTTTACTTTGCCAGCTTAGTAGAAGAGGTTGACGTAGAATTGAGCATGTAGCGCCAACCTACCTATGGGTAAATGCCGTAGATTTTTTGCCAATTTGCGCCAATGTACAATATCTCCAGGAGCGATCAGCACAACGCTTCTACCTGGACGATTCGCTCGAGCTGTCCGACCACTTCTATGAATGTAGGTTTCCGCAGTTCGTGGAATGTCAAAATGAATGACCCAGGACACGGGACACGAAGCGAAATCCAAACCTCTTGCTGCAACATCAGTTGCTAAGATAACGGCCTCCTCGCTGGCTGCAAAATCAAGAAACACAATTTAATAAACTACTACACGACACTTGAAAGATTACGAAAACTCATGAAACTTCCATTTAATCTATTAAGTTGGAGAGTAATTGAATCAGTCATTAGGTTAAGTTGAACTGATCTGACTGGTAAGAGCCTAGAGTATGAGATGTAAATGAGCCCTCATAAACTTGAGATATACAATTACCACAAGTGCGGGGTGTGCGATAGACTTACCTCCACGTGGTGCACCCTAGGCAACGTATACTCATACGACAAAAAAGTCTATAAACCGGCAGTTGACATCTGACTTCAAACTACCAAGACCCCACTGCATTTCATATTCCACCACTTTCACAGTACTCACCTCACCTTTTTCTACCTTCGTGTCTGTCTGTTTCTTTTACGTCTGTGAATCATTATTCCGTCTCCCTCTCGACGTTTTGCCACTTTGATGCTCATCTTCCTTTCTGTGAAGCCTGAAGTCAACTAAAGGGCTAATGATACCTATCATAACGTTTGCCATTTGAAATAAATAAATGAATTACCACAAGTGCAACCAAAATAATTATCTAGAAGAATGAGTTGCGAGTAAGACCAGATTTACTCATACGGCAAAAAATTCGATTAACCCGCAGTTGACTTCTGACTTCAAACTACCATAACCCCACTGGATGCCGTATTCTACCACTTCCACAGTAATCATCCTACCTTTTCTCTGTCTTTGTGTTTGTCTCTTTTGCAACTGTAAACCACTCTTCTGTTCCCACCCCTCGACTTTCTGCTACTTTGATGAACCTTCCCTCTGTGAAGCCCGAAGTCATTTGAATGGCTAATGTCTTCCCTCACCCCTCGACTTTCTGCTACTTTGATGAACCTTCCCTCACCCTCGACTTTCTGCTACTTTGATGTTCCTCCTCCCCTCTAGCCCGTTTAGCTAAATGGCTAATGATATCTATCTCATTTGCAAATACGGCTACTTTGATGAACCTTCCCTCTGTGAAGCCCGAAGTCATTTGAATGGCTAATAATAGCTATCAAAACGTCTGCCATTTGAAATAAGTAAGTATCGGAAACGCCATATAATACATCGAATGTATTGAATAAAAGAATTACATACATAAATGTATATGCATGTATTAGTTACATGTTAGTTACACACAAATTAATGATCGTTAAGTCAGAAGTTGAATGGCACTCATTATACAGCGAATAAAATCATCGCGTGTTACTTCGTGAATAGAGAGCAAAAACAGACGGCGTATAAACTTGGTCATAAGATGTTTAGGGTCATTCAGCCATTTAATTATTGAAGTCACTACAATAACGCTAATAGATGTCATAAAAGTACATCTCAAATGCAGCTGCACTAGTTGGAACTGGAGGTGTCATTACCTATCAAGATCAATATCTTCAAATTTAACTTCCATTCCATCAAGCAAAGCAACGTTGGTAATGAACTTGGAACGTTCTTATCATAGCGACAAAAAAACTATCGCATAAAGTCGGAGTTTCAGAAGGCCTTCCCTAACTATTCAAATATTATTATTATTATATCAAATGGCAGGCGTTTTGATGATTATCATTAGCCTTCAGGCTTCACAGAGGGGAAGGAACATCAAAGTGAAAAAGAGTCGAGAAGGGGGGGGGGGTGAACAGAAGAGTGTTTCAAAGACAAAGGTAGATAAGGTGGAAAAATGGTGAGATGAGTACCGTGAAAGTAGTCTAATATGACATACAGAGGGGTCGTGGCAGTTTGAAGTCAGGCGTCAACTGCCAGGTAATAGACTTTTTTTGCCGTATGAATATACGTTCCCCAGGGTGCACCACATGGAGGTAAGTCTATCACACACCCCCTATTCAAATATAAGACGTCTACATTTTCTAAATAACATATTTTACGCGCAATCTGAGGTAAATATGAGGTGAGGAAAAAACACGTCCAATATAACGATTAACAAATTATTAAAAACCTGACATTTAAAGAAGTAAAATGCTCATAACTCCATATGAATGTTCATGGAAGACCAAGTCTAAACACTCACCATGGCCAGAGAAGTAGTAAAGCGTATATTTCCTGAAGACAAACTATAACGGCCTAAAAATATAGCTCGATTGGTGTTAAACAAAACGATGTGCACTAAATCTGTGGCACCTAGCCTTGTGATAGTGCGCATTGGTTGCTGGGCTATTGGTTCGCGCACAATGGAACCAATTGCTGAATTAGAATGCATGACAGTATAAGGGCTTAAAATGAAGATTTTGCTTTAAAAGTCAACTTCATCCTCTCTTGCAAGTTCAAATTGGTTGTGCGCCCTCTACGACTGTAGGCAAAGATAATCACAAAAAGCACTATGACTAACAAGAGCCGACATTAATAGGAAAAGTTTTGCTACGGTATGTTACCATGAGCGCAAAGTTGTTCATTCATTAGTACGATCAATAATCGAACTATTAAGAACAGTAAATTTTTCAAAAACTTCACCTTGGAACCTTTCCAACGACCTTAATCGCTGTTTCTGCATCATATCCGCATGCAACAGACCCAATTTTGATGATATTTCAGGACATTGACGCAGAACACCCGATAATCGACGAGCACCCGATTTACTGTTTATAAAAATCAGTGCTCTGCCAGGATTGGTCAACCTCGCAGCCATTAGGAGCCAAACTAGAAGAGCATCTTTATCAACTTGATCCTGGCAAATCAGACGATATTCTGAGAGACTTGAAGGTAAAAGAACACCCGTCTTTGGTGCCTCTCCAGATTGTTGCTGACGCTCAGTAGATGAATTTTTTTGGTTTTCCGTGAATTCAGATGAAGAGAGATCAACGACTTTTGCCTTGGCCGATAGGCCCAGCATATCGCGTAATAAACCTATTAAGAATAAATAAACATTTATTTACTACTTATAAGTAATAAGTAAACACCTCGTAATGAAAGCGAACTTGCCCAATTTTGAAATAATGTCCATTTTCTTTCCATTCGATAGATTCTTCATTAACTTCTTAGAATTAGAGCCTGGAAGCATGGCGTTGTTGTGAACGAAGGTGAGGGTAGCAGAGAATACAAAGGTCTGACGTTTCATATCCTCTGGACGTTTATCTCTGAGGAACTTCAAAATGGAGCCCAATTCGACGAAGTGTTGAGATTCAACCAGACGATCAGCTTCATCAAATACAACGCCAACGAGAGTACGAGGCATTGAGATTAAATGCTCGTGCCCCTAAATGAAAACAATCGAAAATTGATCAATTATTAACAATATCGAAATTGCTTATTCGATAACAAATTGAAACATTCACATGTATCAAGAAGAAATAAGCATATACGAGATAGTCACTCGAGGGGCTAAGGATTGCCCAATAGAAAAAAAAGAAAATCGATTTACGGTTATTGCAATTAGCCTTGAAAAACTCTTTTTTTCAAATGGCAGGCATTTTGATAGTTATCATTTGCCCTTTAGCTGACTTCGAGCTTCACAGAAGGGAGGAACATTCGACAGTTTAAAAAAAAGAGCAATTCATAGATGTAAAAGAGACAGACAGACACAAAGGCAGAGAAAGGGTGAGGTGAGCACAGTGAACGAAGTCGAATATGACATACAATGGGGTGATGGTAGTTTGAAGTCAGAAGTCAACTGCCGGTTAAAAGACTTCTTTGCCATGAGATACGTTTCCCAGGGTGTACCACGTGGAGGTAAGTTTATCGCACACCCCACATTGCTATTTCGCACAACGTGGAGGTAAGTCTATCGCACACCCCATTCATTAAATATATCACGGAGGTAAGTCTATCGCACACCCCGTATTTTAGACTTTTTTGTCGCATGAGTATACGTTGCCCAGGGTGTAAAGACTTCTTTGCCATGAGATACGTTTCCCAGGGTGTACCACGTGGAGGTAAGTTTATCGCACACCCCGCCTTGAAAAACTTAAATTCCGTGTGCATGAGAACACGAGCAAAAGAGTGCTATTTTCACTACAAATTAAATGGACACAAAAATCAACAAGGCCCTCTAATGCACAATTCTAAGGCCTCGTGAAATACAAGAATCGCTTAAATACCAGAAAGCGGAGTTAATGGGGGTTTCTAAAAAGGATCGCCTTTTTTCCTGCCTGAATACAGAAAAAAACAGAAACCAAATCCAATAAACATAATCACCTCATCTTTTCCATAAATTCTACACTTACGTAGCATGGTTTTATCGTTTATAGTATAGCAATGTTATAAATAGAGTTGTATTATTATGCCATTTGGATTGGATATGAAAAAAAGCATTCAGTGAATAACTCAAGGCGGGGAAAGTAAATGGTAGTTTCAAACTGGAATGACTTGACGTGTACGTTCGTTGAGATTGTTTGCTTGTGTCAATTAAGGTCTCTCAAGAATGGACAATAATTGTCTTAAAAGAAAATAGGTACTGTAGTGACCTTAGGCCACTGAATCGGGACTAGTTCAAAATTATGTTTTCTTAAATCCCTGTAGGGACAGTAAAAGCACCTTCAGAAAGAACAGCAAATTGACTAACTGCAGAATCATATCAACCAATCAGTAAATTTTGAATATCGTAGATATGATTTCTCTCGAGAAACCAGAAACCAGTTAGTAAATTTGAATATTAGAACGTAGCAAAGTGAGATCTTTATAATAGAAGGACAACTCAATGGCACCAGATTTAAATAAGGCAAGATTCGTGAGGTCTTGGCTTCATGGCCTTACCGAACTCGTTTGATCTTATCTTCATCTGCAAAAAAACTTATCCACTTTAAGGGCGAAAAAAGCTAGTTTTAAGCACTTTGGTCCGCATCTAGTAAGCATAATATCCAAAGCCTAATCAAAACAAATTCGTATCGAACTTAAGGAGATATTTTCAGTAAAAAATAACTCTGCAATAAGGAGAGATCCGTTTGCAAATACACATTTCCAGTTTAGGGCACAAAGGCACAAACTACTAAGAAATTTTTTACAAGTACCGACCACTCGGAAAATCAATTAAGAAGCTGGCACTACATTATTAATCGTGGGGTGCGCGATAGACTTACCCCCACGTGGTGCACCCTGGGCAACGTATACTCATACGCCAAAAAAGTCTATTAACAGGCAGTTGACTTCTGACTTCAAACTACCATGATCCCACTGTATGACATTTTAGACCACTTCCACAGTACTACATCACATTTTTCTCTAAATTTTCAACCTTCGTCTTCCAAACATTCTTCAGTGCCCCTCCTTTCGACTTTTTATCACTTTGATGTTCCTTCCCCTCTGTGAAGCCTGAAGTCAACTAAAGGACTAATGATAACCATCAAAACGCCTGCCATTTGATATAAATAAATGAATAATTAATCGTACAGAAGTGTATGCTAATAATAAAAACAATGATAAAGGGTAAGTAAACTGACAATCAATTTAGACTCACTGCTTGGATAAATTCCCAAAGTCGACCAGGTGTGGCGACAATAATATCCGGTTTATGCTGCTTGAGAATCCGATCCTGTTTTTGAAAGGAAATTCCACCAACAATAGATTCAATTGCAATTGACGGAGATGTGACATGAGTAACTATTGCTCTCAAATGAGATGTAACCTATTTGAAGAGCAAAAAATTACAATCGAGTAGCAAAGTTACCTGAATAGCCAATTCTC